CCTTGGTTTTCTTTAAAGCCTCCTCAACTTCTTTTTTGCTAATGCGACGGTAAAAATGAAACGTTTTATTATTATTTACGATATTAAAATCACTAAGTTCGATCGTATTTTCAGAAACTTCATTAAAAAGTTTATCAAAGTAACTCACCCACCTATGTTGAATATCTTTTTCTAAGAAAAGTACTTTTTGATTTTCATCTTTAATACACTTTACTTGAGTTAAATCTTTACTTTTCTTTTCTCTTTGTTTGGCTAGTTTATACATATATTTTTCACCCTCCTTAGTATCTAATCTATTATAAAGATCATTAAAAGCAGAATTTTTAGCATCACAGATTGTTCTTTTAGACTCCCTGCGAGCCGTTTGATATTTTCTCAAATTCTCTAAGCTTTTACATTTAAACCAATTTTTATAACATAACTTCTTATATTTTATCTTTTTTTGCACATTATTATTCCACCACCAACTATTTTTATTTGTAAATATTTTTCCCTTTGATTCTCCAAGAACATCTTTTCCCTTTGATTTTCCCCTTTGGTTCTCCTCCGCAAGACAATAAATAAAAATTATAACATAAAAATTTGAGTTTATTTTTATCAGAATAAATGCAGAAAAAAAAATTTATATATTCTCAAATAACATTATTTGCAAATGGAAAGAAGTTGGCTCTGTTCAAATCAAGACTGGTTTATACAGAATATGAAGCAACTATGAAGCAACAATATGAAGCAACTCAGAAAAATTGCTCATTGAGCTTGTTATTGGATGAAAAAAAATGAAAAAAAAAAAATTTTGGATGATTTGCACACATACCACTCGATTCCTATGTATTAAGCTAAAAAAAGGTGGTATGTTTGATGTGATATGAAAGATTTGGGTGGTATAAATATTTTGAAGCTTTAAGAATAACAAAAATGAAAATGCATTGACTTCAACTTCAATGAAGGAGGTTTTAAGAAATGTTGGTTTATCCTAAGCCAACATAAGGAAACAAAATTTATTTATATTGCAAACAGCGGGATGCCAACCTACTATCTCATTTCCATCATCTTTTGAGAAATGCCCCTCCAAACCAGAATCCATCAGCATCAGAAAGTTCATACCACGAATTAGGTCAAGTGCCTGTAAAAAAAGATGCAAGACCTTTGACAATTTTTTACACTATCAACTACTCAAATAAACATCCTGTATTATGAGAAACATACAATTGAAAATTAGCATTATGGTAAGGAATAAAACATACTCCAAGACCTGTGGTATAGCATTTAGAGAATGCAGATTTAGATGCCTTTTGTATGAGGTTACTATACATGGCACGTGGTAGATTTAGAAAATTTACCAACAAATTCATGGAAAAGACCTTGCTTAATTCATGGCACGTGGTAGATCATTGCTCAAACCAGCTCATTTGGAAAAGACCTAATTTTAGCCACTTCCAAATATAACTGTTTCATTCACTTTTTCTCCAATAAATTTGCAAGCTTGTGCCAACAACAGTGATTGAATGAAAAGTAGGAGGCACTGTAGAAGTGATGATGAAAGCTTAAGAGTACCTTTGGTGCATCAATGTAGTAATTTACATTTTGAAACGTCATGGTTAATGGATTGAATGGTATGACCATCCTCCCTGCAACAAGTATAAAGCCCAAATGTGATTAGAGGTTATACTCCAGTGATAGACAACAGAATAATCCTTTGTAGTTGAATAATCCTTTGTAGTTTAGACCTTAACTTTTCAAGACTTGCTGACCCATCGTCTCATTTTCTGGCAACAAATGTTAGTGAAATTAGATTGAGGACCTTAAAGATGAATTAAAATGGTTGCAAATTTGCGTTGCCTTCCAAAATTAAGAGTAAAAATAATCATTTAAGGCATCATTTCAAAATTAAGAGTAAGAATAATCATCTAAGGCATCATTTCATATTCTTATCTTAAAATGGTTGTAAACTTGTGTCACTTTCTAAAATTAAGAGTAAGAATAATCATCTAAGGCATCATTTCATATTCTTATCTTAAAATGGTTGTAAACTTGTGTCACCTTCCAAAATTAAGAGTAAGAATAATCATCTAAGACATCATTTTAAATAAGAAAAACTTCTTCTCCACATGATTTATACTACATAGCATTTGATGATCCGCATCAGTCACGTACATGTCATTTTAATATAGATATGAATCATATCTAGCATGCAAATAGAGAGATGTCCAAGGTAACCATCCTTTAAGAACATAAAGAAGAGATGAGTTGAGGAAGAAGAGATGAGTTGAGGACTGAATATATTGTTAGAAGCTAAAAATGGTTAGAACATACGACCAGTTTAAAGAAAATATGAAAATTGTAGGCCTATTCAAACAAGATGTCCACACCCTATGCTAGATTAGCATTATATCTTAGAACTCATTACAAAGAACATCATCTAGCTCAAAGCTCACAGTAAGCATAAAGTTCAACATAAAGTTCAGCATAAAGTATAATTTCATCAACAAAGTATAAAGTATAATTTCATCAATAAAACATAAAGTTTAGCTTGCCCAAAGCTCAACTAGAAGATGTGTCTTGAAGTTGTTCCTCCATCAATCTACTCGGGTAAAGTCACCTGAAGGTGTTCCTCTTCCATTAATTTTTGCTGGAACAAAAGATATATAAAAAAGTAAATGAGAAGAACATAAAATTAAAAGGTTAACATACGCTAAAAAATAATTTTTAAGAGATTTCTAAGCCTATGAATAGTCTTCTTATGTAGGAGTAAGAAAACATAGACTAATTGTTGAGACTAATTATTGAGGGAAAATAAGTGATAAGAACTAATTGTTGAGAGAAAATTATTAAAGGAGTTTTGAAATTACTTGTGGAAGATCTAATCCAGCTAGAAGTGCATATTAATGCATTCACCGTATTTGTCGAGAGCAAACTTCTATAATCACTAAGAACTTTTCCACCAGTTCTAAATCCTGATTCCGAAGCAACTGTTGTTATTGGGATTGATAGTATATCTCTAGTCATTTTGGACAAGAAAGGATATTTGAGAGTGTTTAACTTCCACCACTCTAGAATATCAAATTTTTCATTTTGATTTGGCAAGTAAAGACACTCCTCTAGATAGACTTGTAGATCTGATTTTGATGGTTGAATAGAATCAGATGAAACAACAAAATCAGTAAATGCGAGCATGCAATCACAACTTTCTGGATTAACGGAATCACTTGACAACTTTGATGAAACATTGCCACTCTTAGAATTGGAACTTGCAATATCACTTGCGTAAGTATTGTAAATTTTCCACAAAACATCTTCAACTTGTTGAATTTTAGAGTCTGACTCAACAGATGTATATGTATTTGCAAAACTAAACTGTATAAACTTAATTTTCAAGCGAGGGTCTAAAACAGCTGCGATAGACATTAAGAGATTACATTCACCCCAATATTTATTAAATTTACCTCTCATTGCAAAAGCCATGTTTCTGTTAAACTTATTAGAAGAAGATGACTCATCTAGCAATAATTTCTTTATATGCATCACAGCGGGTAGAAAATTATTTGAAGTGGGGTAGGAAGAACCTGAAATCATTTTTGTCACATTATTAAAAACAACAAGAAATTTTTTGATTTTATCATATCTTTCCCAATCTGAATCTGAAGTCAATGAAATTATTAAAATTATTATCTCGATCAGCAAAGTGAGTGAACACATTACGAAAAATAAGAGCAGATTCAAGCATTAAGAATGTTGAGTTTCATCTTATTGGAACATCAATGTACAAACCCTTTGTTGTTGATATCCCTAACTGTTTGGCTATGTCAACGAACTTATGCAACTTTGCCGGCGATTTATTTATATATTTGATAGCCTCTCTGATATTATAAATAATGTCTTGAATCTCTTTTAAGTCAACTTGTACCATAATATTTAAAATATGCACACAACAACGAACATGAAAAAATGCCCCTTAAAATGTAGTTTCCCTTTTGCCATAAAATTTGAGTGAAGCAAGGTAGCAGCAACATCATTATTACTAGCATTGTCTAAAGTGATAGTAGATACTTTATCTTGTATCTTCCAATCTAACAAACAATGAGAAATGACATCACAAATGAATGTACCAGCATGAGGTGAATCCAATTCAATGAAATTGATGATTCGTTTTTGAATCTTCCAAAAATGATCAATATAGTGAGCAGTTA